ATAACCCAATGGAAACCTGATGTAAACATATAATCAATGAGTCCCATCACTGCAGATAACCACCCCCAACTGGCTCACTCCCTCATCTCAAAAAGCCATCCCTTTAGGCTATTAGCTTCGTCCAGCTAACTCTTTCAACTATTCCTGCCTGCTGCTTTTACCTTGGCTATTCGTTCAGACCAGCAGAGTCAGAAGTAATTTTATACGCAGCAGAGAGCGGGCGGAATTGATTTTTCACTCAGCACTCAGTTCCCATCTGAATAATTATCAATTTTACTGCCTCATAAAGGGAAGAGTCAAAATTTCAAATCAATTCAAAAGAGCTTCTGAGACTGGAGAAACAGTGCACAAGGAGAAAGGTCAAAGTTGGCAGTGACCTCAGGAGATGATGTCAGGTATTAGTACACTGAATGGTTGACATCAGAGGCACTCAATACAGTATGACTCGTGCTAATGCAAATCATATTTATGCTGACTACTGGAGACCAGTCATTAATATTTAAAAGAGTACCTGAAAGCCTGTATTCAAACTAAATATAATGTATACTACAAATTGTGAAGCTAATAAAGACAGATTGCTGCTTATTCATATGCTATAAATTTCAGGATTGCCAAGCATCATTGATACAAAATAGGACATTAAGGTCATAAGAAAGGCAAGTATATGAGCATCCAGATCAGACTGGAGGCCAGCATTCTAGTCTTCCTGATCATACTGCAGTGCTTATCAGGTACTAACTACTGCACTCAGTCACTGGCCATGTTCTAATCAATTTTGACTCTGAAATAGCTACTTCAATGTAGTTGCAATAGGAGGCAATAAAGGAAATGATCATTTGCCAATGATAATGTCAGTCATATACATGCTTAAATAATAGCCTTTGTACTGGCTCCCAATTTTGTTTTATTTGGAAGCAAAGTGTGCCCAAAGTAATTGGAGCATGAAATAAGAGTGATAAATCTGGTAAAGTTAAATGGCAACCACTATTCCTGTTTTGTAACCACCAGTGCAATCTCCAGGTCACTGAAGATCATGCCAACTCTTCCACTACTGTTAATGTATCTTGCTTGCAGTCCATAAATCCAAACAGTTATTTAAACATGGTACTTGGTTAACAGTCTGTTGTTAAAATGCCCAGCAATTGCTCATTGGAGAAACAGTTGAAATCCCTCACTAAAGTCAAAAGTGACAAAGGATCTGTCAGCATTCATGGGTCCTTTCAGCAATAATGTAATCCTTAACAGCAACAACAGATACAACTCTGTGCTTTCTTTGGATCAGGCCATTTTAATTGCTCTAGTAGTATTTGTCTTGAAAACAAAAGGTAAATGAAAATGTATACAAATAATTTATGTTAGGATATTAGTAACATCAAGTTATTTAAAAGATTTATATGCCACCTTTGCATCTGATGGTCCTCAGTGGCTTACGTAAAAGATAAAATGCTAATAAACTTGAATACAAAGTAATCAAGTTACAGTTAATAATATACCCCATAAAAGAAAAGCCAGCATAATAAGCAGTGGCACTAAAAGCCATCTTTATTTAAAATATGCAAGAGGCGAGGATATAAAACAGATTTCATCTGACACCTTAACGAAATTAAAGTAGGCATTAGACAAATATGTTCTGGGGAGTGTTCCATAGCTGGACTGCCACAATAAAAAAGACCTCATCAGTGGTGGCCACACACCTAGCTTTCAAAAGTGGAGGTAGCTGGATCAAGTTCCCAGCTGATTTTAGCAAACAGGCACAGACATAGAGCATATATTTCATTTGTTCCTTTAATGATTTCTGTATATCACATTTAGAATTTGTTAATGAAGATGGATTAATTATTTGTTAATAGACAAATGCAATGGATGATGAAGATGGTGGCATTGGCGGAAGCCTGTTCAGGCTGCCACAAGCCAAAGCCAGCATTTTAAACTGCATTCAGAAACTAATTAGAAGTCAGTAAAATAGCCTTTGGTATCAGTTCAATATGATAGGTCTCACTTAATAACTTGGTCACAATGCTCTAAACCAGCTGAATGTTCTTCTCTTGGTCAGCCTTTTCTTCATTATTATTTTGCTTAGCTGGTTTCTGAAGCTTCTTCACTGTCAATTTTCCAATAGTATGCATTGTATTTGCTTAATGTAGATGTTACTAAGGCCTAAGTAATTGTGGCAAGATTCTGCTGCAACTGACATACCAAATAAAGGCAAAAAGCACCCCAAACTAGAGATATCATTTGAGTGTTTATAAGCAAAGCTGGACCTAAAAGGTTCCCCCACCCGCAAACTTCCTTAAGAGGTAGCAGCACAGGCCAAACACTCAGCTGTGGTTAATCATACTAACTGTACCTCAGCTTTACCTTAATTGGGGTTAAGTTTATAATCCTGGCACAAATGGTGGCAGTACAGAAGCATGTACCTTTTACAATGTACTGGCTATACTAGTTTCTGGTATATTTCTGTGCCCAAGTTAAAGTGTTGGCATTGACTTTTAAAGTCCCTAAATTGTTTGGGGCCAAGCGATCAGAAAGACTGCCTGCACCAATGGAAGTCTGCCTGCAATCTTAGGTTAAGTGTCCTAGGCCCTGCTTACATGCTTACCTGTGAAAGCAATGAGACTGGCAGGCATGTAACAGAAGGCCTTTTTGCCAGTAACTTCCAATTTGAGGAAATCAGTTCCACTGGGGGTATGACAGGTCCCATCACTGCAAGTCTTTAAAGGTTGGTTTGTTTAGTGTTGTCCCCTTTCAAATAATGCCTTTATTGGACTGCTATGTTGCAGTTTAAAAGTTAATTATTTTATATTACTGTTTCAAATGGATACTTTGTCGACTCTTTCAATGTTACTACTGGCCCTGATTAGTTATGAACCTTGTTTTGCATAAAGAAATAAAATGCATTAGGCCTTACCCACTACATTACAGATTCCTGTCCCAGGCAACCATCACCACATATGGATTTAACAGAAATAACTAGATTGGGCATCATTAGTGTACTGATGGTGTTGTGCTTCAAATCGCTTCAAATGTGCTTCAAATGATCTCACACAGTGGTTTTCTATAGATGTGAAGCAGCATATAGAAGAAGACAGATGTGGCCTTAACAGGAAAAGTGAGGTCAAGGGGGAGACACACTTAACACTTCTGAACAGGGAATAAAGGGGAAGAAGATGGTCATCCTTATTTCTCTGGAGTTCTGTATGCTGGAATGCAGAGATGCTCTTGTCCTTCATGGCCCCCACCTCTTCAGTGAGAAAGACTGAAACTGTGCCTTCTTCCCTTTCTCCCACTGTTCCATATTGGACTGCCCATGGCACTTGCACAAAGCAGAGCTCCTATACTGATTTCTTGTTGCCTCTGTTTTTGAAACTACTGGGGATGAACAAAGGACAGGACCTTTGGAATACCGGAGGTCAGACTAGATGGCCCGGGAGACCCCTTCTGACTCGCTCTGTTTTCTGTTTCTATGTTTCTATCTATCTGGTTGTTCATAATATATTATAAGAACAGTCTTGTTGGATCAGATCATTTGCAACAGCATTCTACGAGCATCCTCGTATTTACATCCAGTCCAATAAGGCATTGCTAGACTTGGGCTTCTGGGTTCCTATTTCTTAGAGCCCTGAGCATCCTTAATGCCTTGTCATATAAAGGGTCATATTTAAGGTGGCTTAAAGATAGGGAAGGCATGACAATTGTCTTGGAAAATTTTTTCCCATTAGTTTGGGATGATCAGGGTCAGGAGGCATATTAAGAGAACAATTAGTTTTATTTGAAATATCAGGGTGAGAAATTAATTAGTTAGATTTGCCTACTGTAAAATTTAAAGCAATTCTATTAACTATTTCTACATTTGTATAGAAATGAGCATATACAAATCAGTGCAAACTTTTGTAACCTGTGGGTCTGGAATCCAGATCATTTAAGTGCCAGTCAATACATCCAGCAGCCACCAGTGAGACGCAACCAGAAAAGTCACAAACTGCATCAAGAAAGCAGTATGTTCACTCCCAGTAATAGTGTCATGGCTGATAGCCATTGGCAGATCTATCCTGTATGAATTTGACTTGTTGTTTTCTTAATGTCACCTGAGCTAGTGGTCATTACTACATCTTATGATAGTGAATTCCAAAAATCAGTTGTGTGTTGTGCAGAGAAGTTCATTCTTTATTATGCTCTAGATTTTCAGCGAGTTAGTTTCACTGGGTGATCTTGAGTTCTAGTACAATTAAAGAAAGTTTTTCCTACCTTCTTTTAATATGATTTACAGTTCTATATAAACCTCTCTCGTGCTCCCTAGTTTTTTTCCTAGTGAATACTCACAAAACCAGTGTCCTTCCTCATAGAGATGTTGATTTTAGTTATACCTTTCTGTACCTTTTCCAGTTCTATTATATATTTTAGGTGATGTGCACAAAACTCTGAAAAATATCCCAAATGCAGATTCATCATACATTTACAAAGGCCTCATGAAGGATGAGGAATCCTTTTACTAATAATTCCAGATACTAAATTTGCATTTTTCACTGTCACTGTGCCTTATTTTTGACAATTTTTACTGAACTACCAAAAGTTTTTCAATATCATTTTCCAGGATAGTTCTCATCAGTTCAGACTCTGTGTGTGTGTCCATGTGAAGTTTTTGAAGTTCTATGATCAAATAAATTTATCAGAGTATTTCCCGGTCACACAGATATGACCACTGTTTCCTTTCCTGCAAAGATGCAGACATGTGGTTTCCATGGGCCAATAAAAAAGACAATGATTAGGATGATTGACAATGGGGTCATGAATGGAAAACAATCTTCTCTTACTTCTATTTCATCACTAAGTCAGATGCTGTTAACTGTCTTACAAAATAAAAATAATTCAAAACATCTCAACTAATTCATAAACCAATATATTACTGTGAACTTGCTTTTCAAAGAAGGCTGGAAAAGCAGAAAACCTTTGCTCAGACCATCAATGCAAGTACAAGATAGGTGAACAATACTTGTGTTTACCTGCTGGAGCACCTCTGAGTTTTGTTGCATAAAGTGCAGTAATCTTTGCCCATCTTGAGAGATCTCTCTACATCTCAGGGGTTTCTTGCCTTCTTTTGCTATATGCTTGAAGAGGTAGGTGACAATATAGTCTAAGCTTGCACAACAGCTGGAGGAGACAATTGTATCTGTACACAGAAAAGGAAATAAAAGGTCATCATTTATTATTTTTAATGTTAAGACTATGCACTAGAAAAGTGAAGTCACAAGACCATAGCGAGATTAAATATGAGGACAAATTGCTTCACTACATCACTGCTCTTGTTCTGCTGGTTTAACGTATTCCAAGTATGCTTCTCTGTGACAGATCCTTCCCTTTCATTCTACACAGCACAGGGGGACTTTTATACCCCACTGGTATTCTGCCTAGTTATAAGCACTCCTGCTGGCTGTTACAAATTGCAGGATTCCAGCTGTTTCCCTATTGCTATGGAATTATGAACTCTGAAGGGTCTATACTTGGAGGGAAAAGAAAAAAAATGTTTTCTTTTCCTTTGTTAAAATTCATACTGAAAAGCCACTGACACAATTGAATTAAAAGGAATGTACAAGTTGAACACCCTGTGTCCAGTTTTTATTGCTAGATAGTCAGAAAAAATGACCCAGATATTCCTGTTATGAAAAATATTTAATCTGTATTTAGATATGAAATTAAAGGTTAGGATGACAAGAATGTTGGGATATGTACTGAGAAATAAGGAGGGCAATTGGCTAGTTGGGTACTTTTATTACCAGAATATAAACAAGGATAATTAAACATACAAAGGCAAAATTTCTTTCAGAACTTTTGGATTATGAACATTTCAGTGGAAAAGTGACTGCTGAGAAAAAGGAGAGCAAAGGCCCATGTCACAATTTTACTCGCAGGATTTATAGTAAAGCAAACTTTTGAGAATAAAACCTAGCCATATTTGATGCAATATTTGTAAGTGAATCACACATGTAATTCTGTTCTTTGCTGTGAGAAGGATCGACATAGTTTATCTTTCTCGCTTTGACATCTTTATTTATACCCGCTTTGCAAACAGGATACCATCTCCAGTGCTTTAACAGCAAAACCTTTGTATGCTCAATACAGCGAACTGCCCTCAACCATACATTACCAATTCAGCGGATCTGCCCATTCTTTGGAGAATGTTGCAGAAGCTAGAATTATCTCCTCAGCTTGTATTTTTGATTTTAAAAAACCCACTATCTTTCCCTTACAGGTTCCCATTCCACCAGTATCTTTTTATTCCAGTGCATGTTGCAAAACAGTTTATTTGCTTATATGTACCAGCACATGGCAACAGAAGGTTGTTTATAAGTTGTACTCTTCGTCATGAATTTAGCCCATTTCAAGCAGCTTTCCATGACTGGATTCTGTGGTCTTCTTTCCCCACAATACTGACATCTCTGGGATCATTCTGTATCCAAGAACAGCTTCTCTTCCAATTCTAGTAGTAGTACTAGTAGATATAATTTATTCTCCTTATTTCTTAGGAGAACTTGAATAGATGCTACCATGAACAATGCAAAAGAATCACATTCAAGGGAGATTGGCAACCTCTAACGATTCAACCTATTATTCCCAAGCGAGGGCAATACCACAGCCTCCACTAACTCCAAGAGGTACTTTCTCCTAGGTTACTTTCACAGAACACATAATTGGTTTTGGATGCTTTGCTTTTGGAGAGGTGCATGCATGTGCAAGCAGCAAACTGTTAAAATATTCATTTGTAGGAGAAAAACAAGGTGTATGAGAGACTCAATTAAGTGCATCCCCCTAAACTGTGATAAGTGGAAGCCTGCCAATATTGCAGTGAGCATCTGAGAACTTCCCTCTAGACACCAGAATGTTGATCTGTGCCAGTTCTGTTTTATAAATGTTGTTTTGAAGTTTACTTGTATTTGAACATCACTGCAATATATTTTTCCTAAGCTAAGTTCTCTTGAGGTCTTTGGAAAGATTTTGCAGACAATATAGCCACAATTAGTCTCAAGACTCTCTTAATATTACCAAGCATGAAACATTCCTGTGCATTTCTGACAATCTCCATTTCCACTGGCTTCAAATGGAACTGAACATTCATATCTCTACTGTCAGAGTTTCATTATTTGGAACATCTTCCCACCCTATTCATTATCGGTCTAATGGAACGATGTTCCATCATCGTACCAGCTCAGGACGGCATACATGATCTTCCCATTTTATCCTCACCCCAACCTGTTAAGTGTTGAATTTAACAAGGATAAGCACACAGCCCTTCCTCCTCCTTGATCTTTATGTAAAAATCTTACATAGTTAATTCTATTAATTGCAGAATTAAAGCTTAAGTCAAGAGATTCTAACACCCATTAAGAAAAAAATGCAAACCCAAGCCTTTCCTTCTTCTAGGACAAGGTAATCTGAATGAACTTTGTAGTGCTACCTGAGCTAACAAGGAAATTCATGTTAGGTCATGTTGTATAAATGAATACAAGATCATGTAGCAATGTACAGCCATCATTTCTGAGAGCTGTGTCTGCTTAAACATGTGATCAAATAAATAGCAGATAGACATCCATTTAGATTCTTATACAGAATTTTATGCCTATTTTCTCTTTGAACAATGTGCCTTATGGTTCAATTTCCAATATGCTCTGTCATGAATATTCTTTTCACCTTCAAACTCCAAATGTACTTTTCTCCTTCTACATCCCCTTCTTCCCTCTACCCTTCTCTATCCTACTGTTTGCACTTTGTTATTTAATCATAAATTTTTAAAAAATGAATAAAATATATTCACCACATCCTTGACTTGGTCTTGACCAACAGAGAGGAGCTGATAGATGAAGTATAGATTAGGGGAGCTCTGGATGCGAGTGATCACTCCATCCTTTGCTTTGAGATCAGGGGACTGGGGACATGCAGCAGGTCGAGCACTAGAAGCTGGGACTTCAAGAGGGCCAACTTTGGCCAACTGAAGGCCAGACTGGGGAAAGTCTCCTGGGATAGGTTACTGGAAGGTAAGCGAGTTGAGGAGGGGTGGATGGCACTCAAAAGGGAGGTTTTGGAGGCACAAGCCTTGATGATACCTCTAGTCAGTAAAGTGGGGAGGCGGAGGAGAGCGCCGCCATGGATGCGAAAGGAGGTGGTTAGAGGGATTAGATGAAAGAGGAACCTCCATAGGAAATGGGTTCTGGGGCAAATAGACAAAAGGGTATACCAGGAGGAGGAGGCCCGTTGCAGAAGGATTCTTCGCAAGGTTAAGGCTGATTACGAGCTGAGACTTGCCAAGAATATCAAGAGCAACAAAAAGGGCTTCTTTCAGCATGTAAATAGGAAGAGGAAGGGGAGACAAGTGGTGGGACCACTAATAAGGAGGAAGGAGATTCAGTGACTGATATGAGGGAACAGGCACAGATACTAAATGACTATTTTGCCTCTGTGTTCTCCCAAAAGCTGGACGGGGGAGATCTGCATAGGAGATTAGATGAGGCCGGGGATTTAGGGGCACAGATTAGAATCACCTCCCTAGAAGTCGAGGGGCTCCTCAGGGCATTGGACATTACAAAGGCACCAGGCCCTGACGGGTTACACCTGAGAGTACTTAGAGAGTTGGCAGGGGTTCTCTCACGCCCGCTGGCCTCCATTTTTGAGGCCTCGTGCAGAACGGGTGAAGTTCCAGAGGACTGGAGGGTGGCATCAGTGGTCCCAATTTTCAAAAAGGGTAGTAGAAGGGACACGGGGAATTACAGACCTGTTAGCCTTACATCCATTGTAGGAAAAACAATGGAAAGGCTCATAATAGAGAGAGATCTAGTGATGCTAGATAGAAAAGGGAGGCTGGCAGCCACACAACACAGCTTCCCCAAAAACAGGTCCTGCCAGACAAACCTTGTGGAATTCTATGACAAGGTTTTGAGATGGCTAGATGGAGGGGATGCAGTGGATGTGGTATACCTTTGACAAAGTGCCCCATGATATCCAGGTGGAGAAACTGAGGAGTTTTGGGATACACCAAAGCACTGTCCGGTGGATTAGGGCATGGTTGACTGACCAAAAGCAGAGGGTAACCATTAGTGGGGAATCATCAGGATGGCGGCCAGTGACAAGCGGGGTCCCTCAGGGCTCTGTCCTGGGGTCGATCCTGTTTAATCTTTTCATTAATGACATGGAAGAAGGGGTGAACAGTCTGCTGATCAAATTCGCAGATGATACTAAAACTGGAGCAGTGGCCACAACTGAGGAGCAGGTACTCCAGATCCAAAAGGATGTGGACAGACTATGGAAGTGGGCAGGAGACAACAGGATGGCGTTCAATGTGGATAAGTGCAAGGTCTTGTACTTGGGGCATAGGAATAGGTGTCATAAGTACAGGTTAGGTGACAAGTGGCTGGAGAGCAGCACTTGTGAAAGGGACCTCGGGGTACTGGTTGACTGCAGGCTAAACATGAGTCAGCAGTGTGATGCGGTGGTCAAGAGGGTGAATGCCACCCTTGGCTGCATAGCCAGAAGTGTGGCTTCTAGATCGAGAGGTATTACTACCACTCTGTATGACACTGGTGCACCCGCAACTGGAGTATTATGCTCAGTTTTGGGCCCCTCATTACAGAAAGGATATAGCCAGGTTGGAGTCAGTGCAGCGTAGGGCCACAAGGTTGGTGGCCGGTTTGCAGGGGAAGAGGTATGAGGCGAGACTGATGGAACTGGGTCTCTTCAGCCTGGAGAAGAGGAGACTCAGAGGGGATATGTTGGTGACATGCAGGTGTGTGAGGGGATGTCACATGGAGATGGGTAGAGACCTGTTCTCCCCTGCAGAGGAAGGCAGGACGCGCTCCAACAGAGCAAAGCTCAGGGAGCCAAGGTTCCATTTGGATGCCAGGAAGCACTTCCTGACAGTCAGGACCCGGAGGGTGTGGAATGGGCTTCCACGAGAGGTCGTTGAGGCCCCAACAGTGAGGGTGTTCAAAGATAGGCTGGACATGCACATGATGGGCATGTCGTGAACGAAGCCGGCTGGAGCCGGGGGTCAGACTAGATGGCCCAGGAGGCCCTTTTGACTCGCTCTGTTTCTATGTTTTCTATGTTTCCCCTATGCTCATCAGGAGAAAAACTACAAGGCCTTGGATCATTTATTTCACAATATTTTTCAGAGACTTATGC